ACAAATAGGATCGCGAGTGGTAAAATATTTTCAACGATAGATTTAAGAGATGCCTTTTTACAATTCGGAGTTAGTCCAGAATGTAGAGACCTTTTAGTAATTTCGACTCATGTCGGTTATTACCGATATCAAAGAATTCCTTTTGGGTTGACTAGCGCTCCGATAATATTTCAACGTTTTATGCAAAACCTATTAAAGGGAATTCCTATGGTTAGTGTATTTTTAGACGATGTAATTATTGCAGGCGAGAATAATTTTGATCATATAGTTAATCTAGAAGAAGTATTAAGAAGATTTAATAAGGCTGGACTGAAACTACGACCGATAAAATTAAAATTGAAGAAAACTCAGTTACTTATTTAGGTCATGTTATTGATGAATTCGGAATTCACCCGACCGAAGATAAGATTAATGCTATAAAAAATAGCATAACACCATCTAATGTTAAAGAATTACGTTCGTTTTTGGGAATGGTAAATTATCATGAATAGTTTATTAAAAATTTACATTCTATTTGTGCGCCTTTACACCGACTAACGAGTAAAAATGTGAGTTGGTTTTGGTCAGCTAAAGAAGATGAAATATTTAATGTAGTTAAAAAAATATTATCAAAAGAAGATACAATAATTCCTCATTCAGCCGATATTCCTGTCGTGATTTCTTATGACGCTTCCGAAGATGGTCTAAGAGCTGTTATTGCACACCGATTTCTTATTGGCCAGGAGAAACCGATTGCTTACGCATCGAGGACACTTTCAGCAGCTGAAAAGAATTACGCCACTATTGATCGGGAGGCTTCGGCGATCATGTTCGCTATCGAGAAGTTTCATCAGTACATTTATGGAAGACATTTTATTTTGGTTACTGATCATAAACCTTTAAAATAGATCTTAGGTGATAAAAGAGACCTTAATAAGATAACAAATAACCCTTTAATACGGTGGGCCACGAAGCTTTTAAATTACGACTATGAGATAATTCATAGGCTGGGTAATCAAAACAAATGCGCCGACGCTCTGTCCCGTTTGGGGGTAGAGAGAGAATAAGGAATGAAGTTAAAAAAAATTTGAAAATGAAATTAGAGAAGTAAGGATCAATTTAATTGAAGATTTATCGTTCACTCGAAGTAAAGTTATTAGTAAAACGATCAATGATATAAATCTAAAAGAGATTGTTAAATTAATAAAAAATCATTGGCATATTGATAATATGAATAATTATTCGGAAAGTTTAAAAAAATTCATCTTAATAAATATAATATTTCTTTCGAAGAAGGACTTTTATTTTATAATGATAGAATCATTATTCCTGATGACCTAAAAAAAGAGGTTTTGAATGTTATCCATCGAGGACATCCGGGGATAGTGGGGATGAAATCCTTATGCCGATACTATGTCTACTGGACAAATCTTGATCGAGATGTTGAAGAATTCGTAAAAAACTGCAAAAGTTGTCAGGAAGGAAGAACGGGAGCCAGAGATGTACCATTATACAATTGGAATATTCCTACCCGACCTTGGGAAAGAATACACATTGATTTGACAGGCCCCGTGTCTGGAAAGTACTGGTTAATTTGCGTAGACGCTTTCACCAAATGGATTGAAGTTGCAATTTTAACACATATTAATTCGACGAGTGTAATAAATAATCTGCGTAATTATTTCGCTAGATTTGGTTTACCTCGTTACATTGTCTCAGATAACGGTACTCAGTTTACTGGATCTGAATTCAAAACTTTTCTTTTTCAAAATAATATAAAACATTTTAGATCGGCCCCTTATAGCCCCAAGTCGAATGGTTTGGCTGAGCGCTATATACGTACGATAAAGACGCGTTTCTATGCCGGAAGGAGAAGTGGGACTCCGGACCAGTTAAATTTAGCGAATGTTTTAATTACACACCGAAATACTCCAAACGCAACTACCGGTAAATCCCCTGCCGACATAATGTTTGGAAGGCCGCTCAGGACGACATTAGATCAGTGGAAATTATCTACGAGAGAAAGGACTGAAAACGCGTTATGGAAACAAAAAAATTATAATGATAGGAACGTTGAACCCCGTAAATTTAAAGAGAAGCAAAAAGTTTGGGTAAAAAACGAAAGGACTGCGGGATGGCATGAAGGAACAGTGGTTCAACGGAAAAGTGCGAGATTGTATGATGTTGAGTCTGAGGGTATTGTAAAAAACAAGCATGCCGACCAACTGAGGGAAGCTCATGTACAAGCTAAAGAAACACCCATGACAATGACTGAGGATTTGGACATTGCAGAACATAATGGAAATACAACTCTAGAAAAAAGAGTTTCGAAACCCCCATTACGTTATTATGATGAATTCAATTTATAGTGGGGAGAACTGTAATGTATTTAAATAAATTGATTTTTTATATTCGCTTAAAGATACAATTTATTTACAATTTATAAAAATAGAAAAACATATATATATATATATATATATAGCTGATAATATTATATAAAATCACTTTACAATAAACTAATCAAATCATTTCACAAAACATAAAAGATATACTTGCGTGTTGGAAAACTCTCATGAATACTATAGTTCCAAAAATATGCGATGAAATTATGATTAAAAGCATGATCAATAATAATTACTTGTCCATAACCACTGATATTTGGAGGGATGTCTATAAAAATCGAGTTTTTTAATCATTACAGGACATATTATCATTAAGGATTTTGAATTAAAAACATTTATTTTGGCCATAAGGGAAATGACAGGCCATAATAAAAAGTAAATCAATTCAATTTTAGAAGAATACAGAGAAGTAGAAAATAAATTATTTATGTATAGTTTTGTGACTGATAATAGAGCAAATCTTATAAATGTATTTCAAAGATGACAAAACGCTAGTATGTATATGCCATATACTAAATAATATTGCATTGTATTTTTGACAATTGTTTAAAAATAGCCTTAAAAATAAATGGTGTAAAAAAAATAGTACAATATTTCAAACAATCTACAGCTAATAGCAAGCTAAGCCAGACCCTTAAACAAGATGTAATAACGAGATGGAACCGTGTATATATCATGATACAGATTTTCTTAAAATCATATTCTGATATACTGGTGTACTTGTTTAGCAAGCAAGAATCAAATAGATTAGCCACAATTGATATCAACATCATCCGCGAGTTAGATAAATTTTTATCAATAAAAGAATGCCCGGACAATCTGATCGCAGATCTCGTCCCACAATAAATGAAGTTTATCTATGGAAACAAAAATTAGTAAAATTTTGTTAACCTTCTGAACGTGATACAATAATAATTAAAACCTTAAAAAACAGAACAAAATTTTTTAGCCACTGCATAAGGTAGTCTTAATTCTAGATCCGAATTTCAAAAGTCTTAAGTTTTTAAGAAGAAATTAAAAACACCGTGAATTTTCGGGCGTGAATCAAAATATTGCCTTTCGTGAGCGGGCGTGTCGGGGCGAATTTTAGTGGTAAGCGTGAATGGGCGTGAATATTTTTTATTACCAAGTAAGCGGGCGGGCCGTGAATAAAAAATTAGGCCCGCGCCCACCTCTGGTAGAGAATATATATTTAAAAATAGAGAATTATCAAAAGAATAGAGAAAGCAAGATATGGAGGGCAAGTGGCAATTGTATCAAAGAATTTTTCATGTTGGTATTTCATGTTATGTATCGTAATAATGTGGTAAGAAAGTTGAAAGAAAGGAATATTTATATATAAGTAAAAACGGAAAAAAAAGTATGTTAAAAATAGAAAATACGGGGAAAAATGTAACACATGGGTTGAGGTTAAAATGTTTTTATTTTAATTTGATTATATACTAAAAATTAAAAAGGAATAATTATTGTAATTGCAGTGTGTTAAGAAAAAATTAATTAGAAAATTTGGTAAAATAATAAAAAAAAGTAAAAATTGTAAAAAAAGAGGGGAATAGCAGATTGTAAAAATAAAAAAAGAATTGTTCAACAAGAAGAATATATAAACGTATGGAATTTAAAAGATAAAATTTTGCGTTTTGAGGAAAATTGAATAATTAATTATAGAAAGTTGGATTGGGGGTAAATTGTAGTAGAATTCTTATTTAAAATAAAAATTAGAATATACTGTAAAAGAAGAAAAGGGGTTAAGAAATATTTTGTGAGTAAAGCAATTAATTATGAAAATCGATAAAATGAGGAATAAATTTTGTTTAAAAGAAAAGTAATTAAGTATGGAGTAGATTGGTAAACCAATAATAAAAAAGGGAAAATAATAATTTGGAAAGTTAAGGAACTTAAAAAAGAAAATTTTTTATGTTAAAGACAACTGGTAATGTTTGATTAAATAAATTCTTCGGTAAGAGATAAATTAAAAAAAATAGTTGAGGACAATTAATATAATAAAACTAGTAGATAGCCCGTCATAAATGACGGGTGATGAAAATTGTCTTCTTACTTTTATGCATGTTACCTGTTATTTGAAAATAATATCCAATTTTTATTCTTCTTAACCCCTCATCCCTTCAGGCAAGGTTTAATCTATTAAAACTAAGTGCCATGGGTTTGAGTAAAAATAAATTTAAAGCATTTACTTGATAATACCAATATTATTTGTTAAATATTACTGATTACTAAAATAATTCTTATTTATTAAAAGATTCCTTTATTTACACTATTTTATTTTCAATAAAATTCACTTTATTTTTTTTATAATAAATTCCAACAATATAATTATAAAGTCGATTTCAAATAATTCCAATTTTCAATTACAATTCATAAAATCCAAAGTAAAATTTCAGTTTTCAAAATATGTATAAAAAATCAATTAATAATCCATATCATAAAAAATAATATTTTTTTCTATTATTATTTATTGATTGACATTTTTCTTATCTATAATTATTTAAATCTAACAATAATTATTTATCAAGAAAATTAAATATATATAAGATATACATCACGTCCGCCTTATAAAAGACCAAGACATGAAGAAAAAAAAACGTGTATATAAATATTACATTATATATCTTCTTCTCTATCTTTCAGTATCTCTTCTTCTTTGGTATCCATAACATCAATTCTCCTTTGAACATCCGCATTATTTGTTACTTTGACTATATTTGATCTCATCTTGATCGAATTATCATTTTTATCTTGTATCTTCCCATAATATAGGTTTCCCATCGATGTAATTCCTCCTGTCCTATCTTGAATTATATTGGTTCTTTTTATCGTTCCATCATAGCTAATAGGCGGCCACTGCCTATTTCCATACGGTTTAAATCTTGATTCTATCTCATTTATTTTATTATAATTTTGGTACGCTACCTCCGACTGTACCCTATTATTTTTTCCACAAAAATAACTCGTTCCCGTAACTTCATCTGTTTCACTAAGATGATCTTCACGTTCCCGATTTTGTAACACATGAGTCGGAATATTACAGTCCTTTATTTGATGTCCAAAACTTTGACAACGAAAGCATCTTTTAAATATATCAGATTTAGGTTTTCTTATTCCCATTTTTCTTTTTTTAACTATTTTCACATAGATAATTTGTTCACTTGTTTCAATTTTATAACTCATTTTAATTATAGATATTTTTTTTTATTTTAAATAAATACCCAAATTTATTTTTTTAATATAATTAATTGATTTTTTTATTTTAAAATAAAATTAATACTCTAATTATTTATATTTTTTAATACTTTTTCTCTTTTTAAATATATCATAATTTGCCAATTACCTCTATGTACTTCAAATTAAAATAAAAACAATTTTCACTTAAAACAACACTCATGTTATTTTCTTTTACAAAAATATGTTACTTTTCACTTTTCTTAAATGAAGAAATCCCTAACTATTAATTATCATTTTTAATACCCCTATGTAATTCATATATAACAATAATTTCTCCATTTTCTATATTATAAATTATTTACATATTTCCCTTATGTAAATTATACAAAGAAAGAAACTTTCCATGAAAACATGTTTTTATTTCAAAAACAAAATATTTTGTTTTTTTTTACTTTTCTTTCCATATAAGAAATTCTCTAACTATTAATTATCATTTTTAATAATCTTTCTCTTTATTAACACACCATATAAGAAACTCTCTAACTATTAATTATCATTTTTAATAATCTTTCTCTTTATTAACACATAAAATATTGACCATTACCCTTATGCCATTTAAAAATAAAAAAAATATTTTCACAAAAACACCATTCATGTTTTTATTTTAAAAAATATTTTACTCTTCAAATTTTTTTTTATAAGAAACTCTTCATATTTATTTGAAATAATTTGCCTATAGTGGCCTTCTCTCAATGGTCGAATACAAATGAGAATATACTTTCATATTTATCAAATAAAAAGAATAAACCTTCATAAATTGAATAAAAAAATCTACATGATTTTATAATTAAGGGAATTCAGAATAATCACAATTCTGTTTTTGCTAATTCCCCCTTAATCAGTTACCCTAATAAAATCAATTCTGTCCTAAGAATTATATCCTAAAAATTATAAGAATCACAATTCTGTTTTTTATGTACTAATTCCCCCTTTATCAGTTACCCTAATAAAATCAATTCTGTCCTAAGAATTATATCCTAAAAATTATAAGAATCACAATTCTGTTTTTTAGGTACTAATTCCCCCTTTATCAGTTACCCTAATAAAATCAATTCTGTCCTAAGAATTATATCCTAAAAATTATAAGAATCACAATTCTGTTTTTTAGGTAATAATTCCCCCTTTATCAGTTACCCTAATAAAATCATTATGACGTACTCCTACAGTACCATCATTAAATCTTATTGTACATAATTTATTCCCTATATTATCTATAACACAACCTTTCTCCCATTTTTTTTATGGTCAAAAAGTCTACCCCAAATAATTTTCCCTACAGGAAATTTTATATTGATTTTAAGATAATATATTTTCAATTTCTTTTGACTTAAGAAAATCTAAAGGTAATCTGGTTCTTCTACCCAAAAATAATTCAACAGGAGTAACTCCCTCCTTATTCCTTGAATTATTATAATATAATTGGGCTAACCAGACGTCATTTTTTTCTTGTTTAGCCTTTTTTATCTAATTTTTTACAATAGCTACCATCCTTTCAGCCTGGCCATTAGAGCTAGGATGATAAGATGGAGTCAAAATATGTTTAATTTTAATTGAATTACAAAATTGCTTAAAATTTTCACTTATAAAAGCCGGACCACCATCCGATACAATTATTTTAGGAATCCCGAATTTAGCCCACAATTTTTATAATAATTTAACAACTTTAATTGTTAAACCTTGAACCTCTTCAAATTCAATCCATTTGGAATATGAATCCACAACCAAAAAATATGATTTTTTATCCAATTCAAAAAAATCAATGTGGAGACGATCCCATGGTTTCTTTGATTTGGGCCACATTTGTCCCATCTCTTTACGGGGCATAACGGCACAAGTATTACATGGAACACATTCCTTTGTAATTTTTTCTATATCATTACCCATCCCAGGCCATCACACATATTCACGAGCCCAAGATTTCATTTTAACTTGACCCTGGTGTCCTGCATGTAACAAATTAATTATTTTAGCACGTAATTTCAAAGGAATTACTGCCCTATTTCCTCTCATTAAACAATCATCTACCACGGATAATTCTTTTTCGAATTTTTGATAAATTTTATAATTATTTTTCCATGGTTTTTTTCCAGTTAAAAATAATTTTATTTGTCTCAATACTTTATCTTTTAAAGTATATGATTTGAGATCTTCCCAAGTTGTAGGACCTCCCTTTAACATATATGATAGAGTACGCACTAATGCATCTTCTCTATCAATAATCATGTTATCAATAATTTCAGGAGTAGCACAACCTGCCCCTAATCTCGATAATATATCTGGCAAATGATTTTCTCTACCCGCCGATATTTTATATCTACGTTAAAACTTCCCACAAGTAACAACCACCGTTGTAACCTCGGAGACATCATTAATTCTTTGTTATCTTTCTTGAACAAATGAATTAATGGCTTGTGATCTGTATAAATCACAAATCTTTTCCCTATTAAATACTCGCGACATTTGGTCAATTCAAAAATAATCGCTAAGGCCTCCTGTTCTATAACAGAGTACCTCGTTTCAACTTCATGAAATATTCTCGAAAAAAAAATAATTGGTCTCTCTAAACCATCAATGACATGTAATAATGCACCTCCTACACTTTTATTGGATGCATCAACCGCAAGAATTATCTCCAAATCATTGTTAAAACATACTAAAATTGGTTCCTCACCAATTTTTCTCTTTAAATTTTCAAAAGCATTTCTTTGTTCAATTTTCCATTCAAAATTAACACCTTTTTTTAATAAGTCATATAGTGGGGCTGCTATTTTTGCAAAATTATCCACAAATTTATGATAATAATTTATCATGCCCATAAAAGACTGCACTTCAGCTTTATTACTAGGCTGATTTATGTTTAAAATATTTTTTAAATTTTTATCAAGCGGCTTCACTTCAATTCCATTAATTTGATGACCCAAATACACTATTTCGGTGACAGAATACTTTTCTCTTTACTGGCTTTTAAACCTTTATCTTGTTTTCTCTTGAAAACCTCTTCAAGACGTTGATTATGTTGTTCTGGCGTCACTCCAGTTATCAACACATCATCCATATAATAAAATACGCCTTCCAAGCCCTGGAAAACTGATGCCATTGTTCTTTGAAAAATCGATGCAGATACACTTAATCCAAAAGGTAATCTACAAAATGCAAATAATCCTTTAGGCGTTGTTATTGTTAACAATTTACGAATTTCTTCTTTCAAAAATTGTAAATATGCTGATGAAAAGTCAACTTTTGAAAAATATTTGGCTCCCTTTAAATTTTCCATAATTTCTTCAATTCGAGGTAATGGATATTTCACTTCTACAACCCATTTGTTAAGTGTTACTCGAAAATCTGCACATAATCTAAGTTTTCCATTAGATTTTTTAACAGGTACTAATGGTGTAGCCCATTCACTATATTCCACAGGAAAAATAATACCATCATTAACCCATTTATCTAATTCTTCGTTGATCTCCTTTTTCCACTCAAAAGAAACTCTACGACATGCTAAGAAAATAGGTGAAAATCCCTCTTTTAATTTCAAATCTACCATTTAGACATCCCAAAGTGTCTTCAAAAATTATATCATATTTTTCAACTAAAATAGGTATAGCGTTTTTAACTCTGTTTAATTTCATTATTTGAATCTATCATGGATTTTGCAGGATATTCACAAATATTCTTATTAACGATAGATTCTTTCGCTTCACTCATTAATTTATTCTTTTCCCTTTTTTTAAGCTTTTCCCTGACTTCACTAGCCATTATTTTTCTTTCGGCATTATCTCTAGCCAATTCGCTATCAATGATAAATAAATCCCAATAATTATTTCTAGGTCCAAGTTTGCTAATCCAATCCCAACCCATAATTGTTTCAACATTTTTATTCACTATCCATAAATCCAAAATTATAGGAATATCATGGAAAATAACATCCCACTGAGTTCTACCCAAAACTTTGATTTCAGATCCATCAAATTGTTTTATACACATATTTTGTCTCTCGACAATACCATTCGGCCAATATTTATAAAAATTTTCACTAGACATTATTGAAATACTTGCCCCGGTCCAAATTTTAAATTAATATGAGGACATGAACTCTGTTCCTTTGCTCCCTCAATTATTACATTTTTAGGCAATTTAATCGGTTGAATGGTATTTATTTTAACCTCATTTTCAATACAATTAATATTCATACCTAAATTCATCTCAGAATTTAAAGGTCTCTGAATCTCATTTATGTTTTTATTAAAAATCTCTCCTGGATATTTATCACTTGTTTGATTACAATAATCCTTTTTATTCAGATTATTGGTTAATTTAAAAATTTTTATTTCATCAAAATGACAATAAAAATTTCTACATTAAAACTCTTTTTATTCAAGTTAAATCTCAATGTATAATCATCATTCCCATGATGATTATCTATTTTATTATATATATCCACAAAATTTTTAATAAAACTATATATATCAAAATATTTATTATTCTCTAAATATGATTTTTCTATTTTTATATGATTCTCTTTCAAATCATATAGTCACTGTAACCCACTCACACTTTGAATACAATGTATGGCAATGTGTCCCATTTCTTCACATTTGAAACACATTCTATCATGGTCTGTATTATAATTTTCAGTTTTATCCACATTTTTAATAATAGGATTTTGTATATTTCTAACCATCGGTTGTAACACTACCGAAGTTCTTTGTGGAAATCCACTTTTAAAATTGGCTTCTTTCACCATGCAATTTCGTTTTATATGTCCTACAAAACCACATCTATGACAAACTATGTCATTTTTTTCACTTGGTTTTATAATCACATTCTCATTAGTTTTTCTGTCTCTTGCATAACAATTTTTACCAATATGTCCTTTTCTTCCACATTCACAACTTTCAATCACATTATTACTTTTGATTTTTAAACTGGAAACTTCTCTGGACAAATTTTTCATATTTTCTCTCATTTCTCTAATTTCACTTAAAATTAGAGATTCCTCGGTACTTTGTCTCAAAGTATTATTGTTATTATTTGTATTAATGTTTTTCAAAATTTCTATAGGTTTCTCAATTAAAACCTCTGAAATCTGTTTTTTAAATTCAATCACAATTGAATTTAATTTTTTATTTATATCCTCCGATATGTCAATATTTTGAGGAAAATTAAATACTTCACCCGTATCTAATATTTTCTCATATTTTTCTTCAACATTTTTTTTACCATTTAAATTTTTTAATTCTAACAAAATTAAATGTAAACTATTTTTTATATCTTCAGTAATATCTGGAGATTTCACCAAAACTTTAGGAATTAAATTTTCATTATTTGTATTTTTTATATCATTTTCTCTATTTTTAAGAGATCTTCTTTTTATTTTCCTTATTACTTGTTTCATTATAATTAAGATTACATAAAACACAAAAAAAATTACTGCTGTTATGACATTATTGGTCATATCCACTTTATTAAAGTTTGAATTAAATATTTTATTAAAATTACTCTTAAAATTTGACATTTTATTAATATTATGCTTATTATAATTATCATTAAAATAAAAAGCCATTTTTTCATTAATTACCCAAAATTTAAAATTTTATCTTGTATATTTCTAATTTTAATCCAAAAATCTTACTATTGCGTTGTGTAATTTATAATAAAAAAAATTTCTTACTTTTATATTTCCGGAATCCACTATTATTTTGAGCAACCCACTTGATTAATAACGTATGAAATTTATTTTTATAAAACACTCTTGTTTTATTTTTTTCTCTAAATATCTCAATTTTTATATTTTTCTCTAACTTATTTTTTCCCTAATAAGTGTTCACGAATCCTGGTCGTTCGGTACCATTAAAATAATTCTTATTTATTAAAATATTCCTTTATTTACACTATTTTATTTTCAATAAAATTCACATTATTTTTTTATAATAAATTCCAACAATATAATTATAAAGTCGATTTCAAATAATTCCAATTTTCAATTACAATTCATAAAATCGAAAGTAAAATTTCAGTTTTCAAAATATGTATAAAAAATCAATTAATGATCCATATCATAAAAAATAATATTTTTTTCTATTATTATTTATTGATTGACATTTTTCTTATCTATAATTATTTAAATCTAACAATAATTATTTATCAAGAAAATTAAATATATATAAGATATACATCAATTACTTATACCTAATATTTAATATTTAAAAAAATTCCCAGGCAAAGTCCAAAGCCATATTAATTATGAAAAATTCTTCCAAGCCCAATGAAAGATCATAATAATTTTGGTAGTTAAGAACTGAAATAAAATATTTAAATAATCATAATGAATTTAAAAAATACAATCAAAATTCAGATTTTCATGGGCCTTGGTTTTTTGATGAGGTCAAGCCCATGTCTGCAAAAAATTTGTTTTGAGCCAATGTCTGACCTATAATTAATAATAAAGAAATTCTCAAGCGTCCAAGCTCATAATAATTTAGAAAAATTTTCCCCAAGCCCAGCCCAATATAATTTATAAAAATATTTCCCAAGCCCAGCCCAACCCATAATAATTTTATAAAAAATTTTCTCAAACCTGGCCACCGATAGTAATTTAAATTTTTTTCCAAGCCTGGAGATGGATAAATCTCTAAAAATCATATATATTTTTCAGTCTATTTTAACCCAGCTCACCCCAACCAAGGTCAACCCATTAAGACTAAGAGTGAATACTATTTTTTTGAATAAAAATATATTTAAATTAGATTTTACCTGAGGGTCATTTAAATATTCTGTGTTAAATATTACACCTATGCATAATATTAAAAAAATTCCCAAGCCAGGTCCTCGCACTTGGTTTCCTCAAACCCGCTAAAGACCATAATAATTTTGATAGTTGATGACTGACATAATATATAAAAAGTCACAATGCATTTAAAAATACAATCAGAATATGAAAGTTGCATGGGCCTTGGTTGATCAGGCCTTGCCATGTCTGCAAAATTTCAGACCAATCTATAACCCATATTTAAAATTCAAAAATCTTAAAGCACCTCTATTTTAAATTTTATCCAATATGATTTCCATCAGATTTTTAAATTTTGATAATTTTAATACATGCTCACAGTATACATTGCAACAATTTTACCTCTTTTACTCTTAAATTTTAATATTTATATAAAATTTATTAATAAAGTATATTTAATACCATACACACAAACTAAATAATTACCGTTCAACCCATGGTTTTTTGATCATACCTGGCTATGTCTGCAAAAAAAATTTCAGACCAATCTATAACCCATATTTAAAATTAAAAAATCTTAAAGCACATCTATTTTAAATTTTATTCAATACAATTTAAATCACATTTTTAAATTTTGATATTTCTAATACATGCTCACAGTATACATAACAATTTTACCTCTTTTACTCTTAAATTTTAATATTTATAAAAAATTTATTAATAAAATATATTTAATACCATATACACAAACTAAATAATTATCCTTCAACATCTATATAATTAATATTTTAAATCCAATTATGTTCAAATTGGTGCCTGCGTGAAACTTTAATATATATATAATTAATATTTTAAATTTATTCATATTTTGTTGGTGCATTCGGTAAAGCATATGCCGTTGAAACGCGAGGCTCAAGTTCGATTCTCGTAGAGAGCAAAAAATTAACATTACACTATATAGTCTCCTTAAATTTAAAACACATTAGGCCACTTTCAAACACGACGTTTTTTCAAAGCGATAAATAACAAATTAAGCTTAATAGATGTGTGCTTCCAAACCAAACGATTTTTTCATGCATACGATTTTGCGATTATTTTAATAACAAACTAGCTTGATTTTTTTTAACGATTAAATGGCGTCTGATACAATTGAAATGAATAAATAATTTTTTTTAACGTTAATATTCAATAAATGAAATGATTTTAGAGGAAATTTTGTATCTGAATTGATAAATTTTGTAGAAGATCATGATGATTTATGGAACCAATCTAATGATAATTATTCTAATAGATTATTAGTAGATGAATTATGGACTTTATGTGCTAAAAAGTAGAACAAGACTTTATATTAAAAATATTGACTATTTTATAATAATAATTTTTAATTAACAGACTTTTTAATTATATACTATTTATTAGTAAGAATGGAATATGAATTTTAATAATTTATATCTTTATTTAAATAAAATTATTTTTTATCCTTTAATTTATCAGGTTTGATTAATCCCCAAATGTCTGTAAATTAAAATGGAAGAATTTGAGGGATTCTTATTTAAAGGAAAAGAGAAAGAGAGAAGAAGTGCATTCAGGGGATGCTGCAAAAGCTAGCACTCCATGGAAATGGTATGATTCACTATCATTTCTTACTACTTCCACCACACCAAGAAAGACACTAAATAATATCACAGATAACATAGAGAATGTAAGACCTGTAAAAAGGGCTAGAGTAACAAAAGACCCAATGGAAAGATATTTTGACAAAATGTTAGAAATTGATAATGACCCAGATAGATTATGGTGCCTGTCTTTGCTTGATA